CAAATCTTGAGTGAGAACCTTCTTCCCTCAGCCAGGGCATTGAAAATGGGTCGTGGATGGGTGTTCCAGCATGACAATGACCCAAAACACACAACCAAGGCAACAAAGGATTGGCTCAAGAAAAAGCACATTAAGGTCCTCTAGTGGCCTAGCCAGTCTCCAGATTTTAACCATTTCAATACCGTGCAATTTCACACCTTCCTGCCCAGGCCATTTTTCAGGTTTCAGCTCTCACACTTTGAGTAACAATTGCGGGTCATACAACATTGTACCCAAACTAAAATTTTATCATTTTCTTCACACAACTACAGCTTTCTTTTGGTGGTATTTAATCACCGCTGGGGTTTTTATTTTTTGCTAAATTAACAAAAAAAAGACCAATAATTTTGAAAAAAAAAAAACATTTTTCTTTGTTTCTGTTATAAAAGTTTACAAATAAATAATTGTTCTTCATAAATTTAGGCCGAGATGTATTCTGCTACATGTCTTTGGTGAAAATAACCCAAATTAGAATGTATTTTTTAGTTTGTAGGAAAGTTATAGAGTTCACAAACTATGGTATAGATCTGAATATTGATCAATCCTGAAGTACTGACGGCCAATCTAATTTCTTGAGGTCCAAGAATGTCAGAATAGTACAGATATCCCCCAAATGACCCCTTATTGCAGAGTAGACAGTCCGACGTACTTCATAAGAGGCATGGCGAGTTTTTTGAAGTTGTATTTTTTGTCATAATTTTTCGGAAAATTAAAAAAAAAAAAATTATTTTCACTATTTTTTTTTTTACATACTGTCACCAGTGCAGTACAGCGTCATCATATAACTGGCATGGCGGTGAACAGGGACACTGACTGGTGACAGTATGAAAAAAAATATATATATATATTTTTTTTTTTTAATTTTTTATTATATTTTAATTTTTTATTACATTTTTTTTTATTTTTTTTAAGATTTTTTTTTCATATTTTACTATGACCAAAGTAGTACAATGTTACCATAGTAACATTGTACTACTTTGGGGAAGTGATCAGTATTTTTTTTTTTTTTACACAATTTGCTTATAGCAAAGAATGACTTTGCTATAAGCAAGCATTTGCCTGAATGAAATCGATTCATTCAGCTTTTCTTTTTTTTTTTTTTTTTTGTGCTTAGCTGTGATTTGGTCACAGCTAATCACATGACATGTGCATCACATGTCATGTGCATCACATGCACATGACATGTGCATGTGATTAGCTGTGACCATTCACAGCTAGGCACTAGTATACAATGGATGGCATCATGAATGAAGCCATCCATTGTATACAACTGTCATGTGACCTGCTGTGATTGGTTACAGCAGGTCACATGGTACCAGCAACGGGCCGCCGGTACTCGGATCTGTCATCGGCCGTATCCCAGGTGCACGGCCGGTGACAGATCGCACTGCTGCGCCGCTCTGCATTAGCGCAAACGGCGCATGTGCGGGAGCACGCCAAATGGGGTGTACCCGGAACGGAGAGGCACATCTGAAGCCGCCAAACGGCCATTGGCCGGGCGGCTAATGGTTAATCTGATTGAAAATCTGTGGAGGGAGCTGAAAGCTCAAGTTGCCAAACGTCAGCCACCAAACCTTAATGACTTGGAGAGGATCTGCCAAGAGGACTGGGCCAAAATCCTTCCTGAGATGTGTGCAAACCTGGGGGCCAGCTCCAGGAACCGTCTGACCTCTGTGATTGCCAACAAGGGATTTGCCACTAAGTACTAAGTCATGTTTTGTGAAGTGGATCAAATACGTATTTCCCTCATGAACATGCAAATCAGTGCATAATTTGTTAGACATGCATTTCTTTTGGATTTTTTGTTGCTATTCTGTCTCTCAGTGTTACAATACACTTACCATTCGATTTTTAGACTTATCATTTCTTTATAGGTGGGCAAACATTCAAAATCAGCAGGGAATCAAATGCTTATTTCCTTCACTGTATACCCCATCCACCCATCCACTGTAGACGCTGTAACTTTCCCGAAAACCAGTCAATATCCACTTTATAGTTTTTTGGGTTTTTTTTTAACCAAAGACATGTAGCAGAATATATTTTGGCCTAAATTTATGAAGAATCCTCATATACTCATAAACAGAAGCTCAAAATAATGCTTTAGCCTTTAAAACTTTTATTTGCACATTAAGACATAAGAAATGCACTCACATTCCGGAGGTCCATATCTGCACCATGTATGGTGAACATCCAGCAATGTACTAATTGGACACAAGATGGCAGTATCATCCCTGGCAGTATGGAAACAGTCCGGCTCCAAAACGTCACTAATGGGAAAAACGTCATTCATGGAATAGCAGTAGTAGTAATCCATACGCCTCTCCAGGATTTTCATAGTTGTAGGCAGTTGCAGTTATACATAGGGCCCGTGCATTGTCTTGCAATATACTGTGTTTGGAGCCGGACTGTTTCCATACTGCCAGGGATGATACTGCCATCTTGTGTCCAATTAGTACATTGCTGGATGTTCACCATACATGGTGCAGATATGGACCTTTGGAATGTGAGTGCATTTATGTTTTAATGTGCAAATGAAAGTTTTAAAGGATAAAGCATTATTTTGAGCTTCTGTTTATGAGGATTATGGCTGAACATGAGGTGGTCATCTGGAGGGAGCATCTTTTGGAGCTAATTTTCATCAATTTGATCGTCAAGAGTCCATACATTTGGGACCAAAAGTGCAGTTAGACCAAAACATTGTATAATGTGAGTTCACACTGCTGGAGGTGAGCAGATATATGGTGGAGGATTTTTTGCACTGAATTCCTGTGACAGATACACATGGTGGCCGTTAGTTCAAGGAGGGGGTCACAGGAGAACACTTAAATGATTGGACTTTAACCAAAGATATTTTGTGGACAATTAATCTTATTAATTTAAATATTTTTTGAGTCACTTTATTTCTGTTTTAGCTATCACTGTTTTATATATATATATTTGCCAAAACTATTGGGATGCCTGCCTTTACATGCACATGAACTTTAATGGCATCCCAGTCTTAGTCCATAGGGTTCAATATTGAGTTGGCCTGCCCTTTGCAGCTAGAACAGCTTCAATTCTTCTGGGAAGGCTGTCCACAAGGTTTAGGAGTGTGTCTATGGGAATGTTTGACCATTCTTCCAGAAGCACATTTGTGAGGTCAGGCTCTGATGTCAAGCGAGAAGTCCTGGCTCACAGTTTCCGCTCTAAATCATCTCAAAGGTGTTCTATCTGGTTGAGGTCAGAACTCTGTGCAGGCCAGTCAAGTTCCTCCACCCTAAACTTGCTCATGCTTGTCTTTATGGACCTTGCTCTGTGCACTGGTGCGCAGTCATGTTGGAACAGGAAGGGGCTATCCCCAAACTGTTCCCACAACGTTGGGAACATGAAATTGTCCAAAATGTCTTGGTATGCTGATGCCTTAAGAGTTCCCATCACTGGAACTAAGGGGCCAACAACCTAACACCATAATCCCCCCCTCCACCAAACTTTACACTTGTGTGGTTTACGGATTCCTGCAGCAGCTGTGATAGGAATCCCCCAGACTGGAAGACGTATAATGGGATGGAGACCTCCGGGAAGGTCATGTTCATCTATAGAATGTTTTGCATTTGTTTATCTACATTGTTGAGACTTCATTCACATCTTTGCATGCTGGGAATGCACGAATAATGCGCATGATGCTCATGGTGCCATTCATTGTTAATGGCAGTCCAAATTAAGCCAGCAGACGCGCGATAAAAAATGCAAAAGTCCAATACCCGAAAAGAGGTGCATTTGTCATATGTAGGGCAGCATTTCAAAGGAATGTGCTGCCCTATGCGGGTTGTGCAAAATGCACAGAAAATAAAGAGCGCCAGAATGTACGTTCACGTGCGCGCTGATGTGAGTGGGGGCCTACGCCTGTTTATTGTGCAGCAACCCAACAGCCCCTGCAGAGGATACAGCGATAAACACCAACAAATGTACAGTGTGGTGTCTATCACAGGGCTCAGTATGTGTGTATATACAGAATGCATTACAATGAGGGTCTCCTCCAGGGTCCAATATTATGTGGATCTCTATCAGGTTCCAGTAATATGAGGGTCTCCTCCATGTTTCAGTAATATGAGAGTCTTCTCCAGGTTCCAGTAATATGAGGGTGTCCTCCAGGTTCCAGTAATATCAGGGTCTCCTCCAGGTTCCAGTAATATCAGGGTCCCTTCCAGGTTCCAGTAATATCAGGGTCTCCTCCAGGTTCCAGTAATATCAGGGTCCCCTCCAGGTTCCAGTAATATCAGGGTCTCCTCCAGGTTCCAGTAATATCAGGGTCCCCTCCAGGTTCCAGTAATATCAGGTTCTCCAAAAGGTTGTGTTATTATAAAGATCACCTCATTTACAAATGGCGCTGTTTATATCCTGTGAAACTGAAGTGATGAAATGCTTGTAGCTTCCGATTTCTTAGACTATAGAGATGATTGGCACCATTCTGGTCTCCAATCAGCTCTATGGTCAGCTAGCAGAAACATCGGCTGCATTCTCAGGTTGCCCCGATTGCACGGGACTGCCCGAGAAGGCCGTGGGGGAGGGGGGCATCATCTCCCGCTGCTTGTAAAAGCAATCCTGCAGCTAATTAGCCACTAGGATTGCTTTTCCATGAAAGCCGATCACCAGCTGAAAAAAACGATACCAGGATTATGCCTGCAGCTGTAGGCATCATCCTGGTTCAACCATTCAAAGTCCAGTGATGTACCAATACGTCGCTGGTCCTTGTTGGGTATACAGTATTACCTCAGATTACGAATTTAATTCGTTCTGCAGGACATTTCATATAGTGAAAAATTCATAAACCGAAACACTGTTTGCCATAAGAATGCATTGAAAACCAATTAAAACCAATTAATCCTTTCCAAAGGTCAGAAAAACAGTAAACGCTACTAAAATACTTAAAAACGTATTTTGCGCTCCATAAGACGCACCTGACCATAAGACGCACCTAGGTTTTAGAGGCGGAAAACAAGAAAAAAAATATTCTGAACCAATGGACTGCAGACATAGTACAGGAAATGACCAGAGACTGCAGACACAGTACAGGAGATGACCAGAGATTGCGGACGTACTACAGGAGTCGACCAGAGACTGCAGACAGTACAGGAGATGACCAGAGATTGCGGACAGTACAGGAGATGACCAGAGACTGCGGACGTACTACAGGAAATGACCAGAGACTGCAGACACAGTACAGGGGATGACCAGAGACTGCGGACAGTACAGGGGATGACCAGAGACTGCGGACAGTACAGGGGATGACCAAGGGACTGCGGACAGTGCAGGGGATGACCAGAGACTGCGGACGTGGTGCAGGAAATGACCAGAGACTGCGGACAGTGCAGTGGATGACCAGAGACTGCGGACAGTGCAGGGGATGACCAGAGACTGCAGACAGTATAGGGGATGACCAGAGACTGCAGACTGTACAGGAGATGAATAAGAGAATGCGGACCTTTGGAGAGGGAGGGGGAGTGGGTACCTGAATTTGACAGGTACCCGCTCCCACTTCCACGGAGTTGTCATCCCTTTAGTGTGGGCACCCGGCTGACAGCCAAGTGCCCACTGCGCATGCGTGAGCAGCGCTGTGCTTTTTGATTGGCCCAGCATCTTCTGGGACCTGTTATGTGTCCCAGAAGACACCATACTATTCACAAAGTGCAGCGCTTCTCGCGCATGCGCACTGGGCACCCGACTGTCAAAGCCGAGAGCCCACACTAAAGATGCCGATGCGGGAACTCTTCACAGCGCCGGACCGAGGAACAGGTAAGGTCCTGCTGCAGAGAAGAGACGAACGGCCGTATTCTGACATGGCAGCGGCCGTGGGAATACCGGACCGGCCGCTCCATATTCGCTCCGTAAGACGCATTGACATTTTCCCCCCCTTTTTTTTGGGGGGAAAAAAGTGCGTCTTATGGAACAAAAAATACGGTATTTTATTAACTCATGCGGTATTTTAGTAGTGTGCAAATTCTTGGTGGTTGCGGGACAATACTTGTGCTCGCCACCGCACCAGCTTGTACTGCACTTATGGGACTCGCCACATCGCCAATTCATACTGCAGTGCTGGTATTATTATTATTATACAGGATTTATATAGCGCCAACAGTTTGCTCAGCGCTTTACAATATAACGGGAGACAATACAACAACAATACAGTTCAATACAAGAGGGTTAGGAGGGCCCTGCCCTTTGGAGCTTACAATCTAAGAGGTATGTAAAAGACAAGGATGTACTAGGCCACTAGTACTCGCCAATTCACCAAAAGGTAGCGCGGCACTAGTACTGTCACTCTGCTGCATATGAGAGTCATCAAAATTTACCAACAAGTGCTAACAGAAATCAGGCCTGATTCTGCAAACACTGCGCGTTTTGTGTGCAATGTATAAAGTGACAGTGACCTACTGACACTGCACTTGCTGCGGGAGAAGGGGGGGTAAATGTAGGGGCTAAACGCAGATGCTGGCAGGTGCCGGGGCTGATCCTGCGTTTTTGGGCATGCTATACTAATGTGAACGCTGGTATAGTCCTGATCTGATCAAAAATATTGATCCGTTCTGACACTATACTAGCAATGGAGGTTTATTGTGTATGATCGTCATTTTGGCAATCGAGGGGTTAAATGTGATGACTGGTGTACTGAAGGGCAATCTGTCACTATCTGGGAGGGGCGTGAAAACCATGGGAGCGCGAATCACGTATATACAGCGTGTTGAAAAAAGTGAATAAAGCTCAAAATCATTCTTATAACTTTTATTTCCATACACACAAATGCATTGGGAACACTACACATTCTATTCCAGATCAAAACATGAAGAAAAATATATCAAATTTGTGTTGTTCCTCTAAAAAAATTGAAGAAAAGTGAATATTAGACTGTTCAAAAAAATAGCAGTGTTTGTATACTTCTTTACAAACTCAAACATTCACTATATAAACTGAAAAATGTTTGAAGATTTTGCTTTCCTTTGAATCACTTAATATTTCGTTGTATAAGCACTGTTTCTGAGAACTGCTGTACATCTGTGTTGCATGGAGTCAACCAACTTCTGGCACCTGTGAACAGGTATTTGTTAGGGATCCGGGTATGACCAGAAATGTGTGGACTGACACAGGGAAGAAGCAGGCTTCAGGAACACAGGCGTAGTCAGGGCTGGAGAGGTGGAATTGTCGGGCGGGCCATAAGGTACTGTCAAGCACCGCCCGGCGGGATCTCTAGTGACCCACAGAGCAGGATTCCCAAGGGCGCGGAGTCTAAGCCCCAGTCTGCCTTTTCACCAGAGCCCCTGATGGTGGGGATGGACTTGGCGCAGGACTGAGACCAGGTTGCGGCCCCTGAGTGCACCCAACTGTGGTAGAGAGGTCCGCCGAGGGTATGTACCAGGGGAAAGCCTGATGTGAAGGGGCTGGCAGGTTTGGTAACAGGGACAGATCCGTGCGGGATGGATGTATGGATCGTCTGGGTAGCGTCAGGCGTAGTCAGGCAGGCCAGGTCAGCAACGTGCGGGCAGCGAGGTACCGGAGGAGCAGGCAGAGAATAGTCAGGGTCACAAGCCGGGTTCAGTAACTCACGGGCAGCACGGTACAGAGGATCAGGCAGAAGGATGGTCAGGCAAGCCAGGGGTTCAACAGGAGACGGTCAGCAGAGGTCAGGATCAAAGCAGGGTCAGCAACTAGGCAGATAAGCAGGAACACAGGATACCAGGTACAGGGGCTCATGGGAAACATACACCAAGGCCCTGATCACAGGCCTGGTCCTGCTTAAATATGCCTCCTGCAATCAGCTTCAGCTGATGGCTGACTGCAGGAGTGAGCTTCTGGTTGCTGAGAGCACCCGCTGGCCAGCCATGGTACTGCAGCCCACAGGGCAGGTGAGTCCCACCACCAGTGATGATTCCATTCCTGGTAGTATTCCAGCCCAGGATGATTGGACTACATTCCACAGTTCTTCTCTATTTCTTGGTTTTGCCTCAGAAACTGCATTTTTGATGTCACCCCACAAGTTTTCTATTGGATTAAGATCCAGGGATTGGGCTGGCCACTCCATAACGTCAATCATGTTGGTCTGGAACCAAGAAGTGGCACGTTTACTGGTGTGTTTGGGGTCGTTGTCTTGTTGGAACACCCATTTCAAGGGCATTTCCTCTTCAGCATAAGGCAGCATGACCTCTTCAAGTATTCTGATGTATTCAAACTGATCCATGATCCCTGCTATGCGATAAATAGGCCCAACACCGTAGTATGAGAAACATCCCCATATCATGATGCTTGCGCCACCATGCTTCACGGTCTTCCCAGTGTACTGTGGCTTGAATTCAGTGTTTGGGGGTCGTCTGACAAACTGTCTCCGGACACTAGACCCAAAAAGAAACAATCTTACTTTCATCAGTCCACAAAATGTTGCGCCATTTCTCTTTAGGCCAGTCAATGTGCTCGTTGGCAAATTGTAACCTCTTCAGCATGTCTTTTTTTTTTCAACAGAGGGGCTTTGCGGGGGCTTCTTGCAGATAGCTTGGCTTCACATAGGCGTCTTCTAATTGTAACAGTACTCACAGGGAACTTTAGACCTTCTTTGATCTTCCTGGAGCTGATTGTTGGCTAAGTCCTTGCCATTTTGGCTATTCTTCCATCCATTCAAATGGTAGTTTTTCGCTTTCTTCCACGTCTTTCAGGTTTTGGTTGCCATTTTAAAGCATTTGCGATCATTTTAGCTGAGCAGCCTATCATTTTCTGCACTTCTTTATATGTTTTCCCATCTCCAATCAACTTTTTAATCAAGGTACACTGTTCTTCTGAACAATGTCTGGAACGACCCATTTTCCTCAGAATTTCAGAGAGAAATGCACTGTAACCAGCATATACAACATTTGCTGCCTTCCTTCCTTAAATAAGGGCAATAATTGCCACCTGTTTTTCAAAGAATGAATGACCTCACTAATAGAACTCCACACTGCTATTATTTTGAACATGCCCCTTTCAATTAGTGATTCAATGACACAGAATTAGCAGCATGCATGTCATGTCTGTTGGGTCTGTTGGATTTCTATTACTCTACTACACCTGCTAGTAAATTATTTGCCATGTAGAAATATCATTTCTACCAAATACAGTGATTGATCAGGTTATTGATGTCTGACTGCTATTATTTTGAACACAACTGTATATGTGATTTTGCGCACCCGTGCCGCCCTATAGCAGTATTTTTGCTATAGGGTGGTCAGGAAGCAGCTACAGAAGTGGTTTGTGTTATGGCACTGCATCACTTTAACTGACAATTGTGCGGTCATGCAATGCTGCACCAAAATTAAATTTACATCCTTTTTTTCCCCATGAATTGGGCTTTCTTTTGGTGGCATTTGATCGCCTGTGCGTTTTTGGCTTTTTTTTTGCGCTATGAAAAAAAAATTTTGATTGCCGCCATAAGTCGCTGATCGCCGCTATTATTAGTATACAACGCTGACAGCTGAATGCAAAGAGAATTGCCGGCATTGTCCAGCAGGTAAAAAAAAGTGTGAAGTTCCCCCATCCATGCCAAACCCTTTGGGTCTGGTATAGATTTTGAGGGGAACCCCCCAAAATCCATACCAGATCCTTATCAGAGCATGCAGCCTGGCAGGTCAGGAAAGGGGGGGGCGGATATGCTAGCGTGCCTCCCCCCTCCTGAACCATACCAGGCCACATGCCCTCAACATGGGAGGTGCTTTGGGGCAGGGCTCCCCCCCAAAGCACCTTGTCCCCATGTGGATGGGGACAAGGTCCTCTTCCCCACATCCGTGGCTGGTGGTTGTGTGGGTCTGCATGTGGGGGGATTATCGGAAACTGGAAGCCTCCTTTAACAAGGGGGCTCCTAGATCCTGGCCCCGTTATGTGAATGAGTATTGGGTACATGGTACAGCCACCCATTCACACAAAAAAAAGTGTAGTGTAAAAATGTCAATTCCTTTATTAAAAACAAACATTTAAAAAAAATGTCTCTTGAAGTAGATCCAATGCCAATCACGATGCCCGTCGCCACCGACCGAAAAAAAGGAAAAAAAAACTGCTCCAATCTCGACACTGGCTCCCAGCTGTCTGACAGCTGCGCCGCGATGAATAGTGTAATGACGTCACAAGGTGTCATCATGTACTGTGATTGGCCAAAGCATTGCACCTGACCTGTGATCAGGTGCGCCCTTGCCAATCGTGTATTCGCAGAACACACAAACGGCCGATGTTCGACTCGAACATACAGCCATCCCTAAGTGGTTGTATCACTAAGGGGGTTCATATAATGGTGTCCTCAGCTATACAAACAGCCAACTGACACCAAGTGCAGGAGGTGATTGGTGGAGAAATGTTCTCTGGGAGATGATATTGCTTGGGGTTAAACAGTTCATTGGGGGAGTTTTACTAAAACTAGAGCACCCAAAATCTGGTGCAGCTGTGCAGCCAATCCGCTTCTAGCTTCAGCTTGTTCAATGAAACTTTGACAATAAAACCTGGAAGCTGATTGGTTTCTATGCAGAGCTGCACCAGATTTTCCACTCTTCCTGCATGCCTACATGTCAGCTGTCACCAGTATACTGTCAGCTGTCACCCTCCCCCTATAGA